CACTATTTAATGTATTTTACACGCCTAATCGTAAACATACACACATCCACCAAATCAAACATCAGCACTTTTGAAAGAAATTTTCTCAAAAAATTGTCCGTTCCTTTCATCCACCACTTTAGCATGGCTTTTTTCACCATACTTCCCACCTTTTACTCCATATTTTGCATCACATTTTCAACACTTTTTTCACTGTATAATTACCACTCAATCTAACACATCCACTAATTCAAACTCCATCACTTTTTGAAGAGACTTTTCTCGCAAAAATTGTCCACCGCTTTCATCCACTAATCTAGAGTAGCTTTTAGTACCAAATTTTCCCACCTCTTTTCATTGTATTGTCCACCACTTTTATCAACCACTTTTTTACTGCCCTTTCACCATACTCCTCATCATATTGTCTACCACCCAGTCTAACACATCCACCAAATCAAAAATCATCACTTTTTAAAGAGACTTTTCTCAGCAAAATTGTCCACCACTTTAGAATGGCTTTTTTCCACCAAATTTTCAAACAATTTTTCATAAGATTATCCACCACCTAAATTGTCAGATTTTTTGACCATTTTACACCATCTAACACATCCACTATTAATCGCCATCATATCCCAAAAGTGGTTAAAATTTCGGTGGTTTAGGTGGTGTATAATCTTATAAAAATTGTTTGATATTGTCACTCCACTCAGGTGGGAAAAGTCACTCCAAAGTGATGAATGAAAGTGTTGAACAAATTGTTGAGAAAGATCTCTGCAAAAAGTGATGTTTGATTTGGTGAATGTGGTGGATGTGTTAGATTGAGTGATGGACAATATGATGGAAAATACGGTGAAAAGGTAAAAAAGTGGTGGACAAAGTGGTGAATGTGATGGAAAAAAGCTGAGCCCCAATCGTGACTTGTCATAAATTTCTTTTCATTTAATACAATAAATCCAATCCACATTTTGAGACTCAAATTATTGATGAAAAACCATTGTCAATGAGGAAAAATAAAATAAAAGGACAATGTCCAAAAACTTTAATTTCTTCGTTAAGAGTTGGGACTTAGTGAGTTTTCAGGGGTATAAAAACTGAGTCTATCAGTGCTATTGAAAATTTGTTTGAGTTGCCAGTTTTCGATAAAATTGAGGTCAAAGTTGAAGCTTCGATCGCGTTTATTTCAATAATAAAACCAGATTTTTCCATGCAACTCTTTTCTTTGGTGTAACTTTTGCTGCTGCTTTCAACCAGAAAATACAGTTATTTCCAATGGAAAATTCTCTGTTCAGATCAAAAACAGATCCATTCGATTTATCGTTTTTATTCAAAAATTGGCTGACTCAACATGTTCACCCATGAT